AGGGCGTCCAAATAAGTTCGTGTTGACTGATGTTTGTTTCTGCTTCTTGTTTCAAATACGTTCTGGTGTATTCATTGAGCATCCATTTCACATAATGATTAACCTTGCTGAGTAAAAATTTCATCATATTGGGGATATACACAACAAAATCCTGGAACGCTGGGTCAGTAAAGAACACCGCCATGTAGGTACATGTACACTGAATGCAGGAATAACCTGGAAATGGGTAAGGCGATCAGTCAGAAGGCCTGCGTGTGGGGGTACACTGGTACGTGCATGTGCGTCATCATTGTTTTCAATACATGTGCACATGAGATCAGTTATCTCAGTGGCATTCCGGAACCTGGCAATACTGAGTTTACCATTCACTAGGATCCTCAACGAAGAATCAAGAACAAGAATGAGCTTGTAACTGACCTCAACGGTATCCTCAATACATCGTTAATATTCTACAAAAACAAAGCATGAAGAACAAGAATGCAGTTTTCACTGACGTCCACGATATCTTCAAAACATCGTTATTATTCTAACAAAACAAAGCATGAAGAAAAAGAGTAGGATTTTCACTGACCTCAACGATATCCTCAATACATCATCATTATTCTACCAAAACAAAAACATGGAGTTCAAGAATAGGATGTTCACTGACCTCAACGATATCCTTAAAACAATGATGTTATTCTACCAAAACAAAAACATGAAGTTCAAGAATAGGATGTTCACTGACCTCAACGATATCCTTAAAACAATAATGTTATTCTACCAAAACAAAACATGAAGTTCAAGAATAGGATGTTCACTGACCTCAACGATATCCTTAAAACAATGATGTTATTCTACCAAAACAAAACATGAAGTTCAAGAATAGGATGTTCACTGACCTCAACGATATCCTTAAAACAATGATGTTATTCTACCAAAACAAAACATGAAGTTCAAGAATAGGATGTTCACTGACCTCAACGATATCCTTAAAACAATGATGTTATTCTACCAAAACAAAACATGAAGTTCAAGAATAGGATGTTCACTGACCTCAACGATATCCTTAAAACAATGATGTTATTCTACCAAGACAAAACCTGAAGTTCAAGAATAGGATGTTCACTGACCTCAACGATAGCCTTAATACATCGTCATTATTCCACCAAAACAAAAAGTTCAAGAATAGGATGTTCACTGACCTCAACGATATCCTTAAAACAATGATGTTATTCTACCAAAACAAAACATGGAGTTCAAGAATAGGATGTTCACTGACCTCAACGATATCCTTAAAACAATGATGTTATTCTACCAAAACAAAACATGGAGTTCAAGAATAGGATGTTCACTGACCTCAACGATATCCTTAAAACAATGATGTTATTCTACCAAAACAAAACATGGAGTTCAAGAATAGGATGTTCACTGACCTCAACGATATCCTTAAAACAATGATGTTATTCTACCAAAACAAAACATGGAGTTCAAGAATAGGATGTTCACTGACCTCAACGATATCCTTAAAACAATGATGTTATTCTACCAAAACAAAACATGGAGTTCAAGAATAGGATGTTCACTGACCTCAACGATATCCTTAAAACAATGATGTTATTCTACCAAAACAAAACATGGAGTTCAAGAATAGGATGTTCACTGACCTCAACGATATCCTTAAAACAATGATTTTATTCTACCAAAACAAAACATGGAGTTCAAGAATAGGATGTTCACTGACCTCAACGATATCCTTAAAACAATGATGTTATTCTACCAAAACAAAACATGAAGTTCAAGAATAGGATGTTCACTGACCTCAACGATATCCTTAAAACAATGATGTTATTCTACCAAAACAAAACATGAAGTTCAAGAATAGGATGTTCACTGACCTCAACGATATCCTTAAAACAATGATGTTATTCTACCAAAACAAAACATGAAGTTCAAGAATAGGATGTTCACTGACCTCAACGATATCCTTAAAACAATGATGTTATTCTACCAAAACAAAACATGAAGTTCAAGAATAGGATGTTCACTGACCTCAACGATATCCTTAAAACAATGATGTTATTCTACCAAAACAAAACATGAAGTTCAAGAATAGGATGTTCACTGACCTCAACGATATCCTTAAAACAATGATGTTATTCTACCAAGACAAAACCTGAAGTTCAAGAATAGGATGTTCACTGACCTCAACGATATCCTTAATACATCGTCATTATTCTACCAAAACAAAACCTGAAGTTCAAGAATAGGATGTTCACTGACCTCAACGATATCCTTAAAACAATGATGTTATTCTACCAAAACAAAACATGAAGTTCAAGAATAGGATGTTCACTGACCTCAACGATATCCTTAAAACAATGATGTTATTCTACCAAAACAAAACATGAAGTTCAAGAATAGGATGTTCACTGACCTCAACGATATCCTTAAAACAATGATGTTATTCTACCAAAACAAAACATGGAGTTCAAGAATAGGATGTTCACTGACCTCAACGATATCCTTAAAACAATGATGTTATTCTACCAAAACAAAACATGAAGTTCAAGAATAGGATGTTCACTGACCTCAACGATATCCTTAAAACAATGATGTTATTCTACCAAAACAAAACATGAAGTTCAAGAATAGGATGTTCACTGACCTCAACGATATCCTTAAAACAATGATGTTATTCTACCAAAACAAAACATGAAGTTCAAGAATAGGATGTTCACTGACCTCAACGATATCCTTAAAACAATGATGTTATTCTACCAAAACAAAACATGAAGTTCAAGAATAGGATGTTCACTGACCTCAACGATATCCTTAAAACAATGATGTTATTCTACCAAAACAAAACATGGAGTTCAAGAATAGGATGTTCACTGACCTCAACGATATCCTTAAAACAATGATGTTATTCTACCAAAACAAAACATGAAGTTCAAGAATAGGATGTTCACTGACCTCAACGATATCCTTAATACATCGTCATTATTCTACCAAAACAAAAACATGGAGTTCAAGAATAGGATGTTCACTGACCTCAACGATATCCTTAAAACAATGATGTTATTCTACCAAAACAAAACATGAAGTTCAAGAATAGGATGTTCACTGACCTCAACGATATCCTTAAAACAATGATGTTATTCTACCAAAACAAAACATGAAGTTCAAGAATAGGATGTTCACTGACCTCAACGATATCCTTAAAACAATGATGTTATTCTACCAAGACAAAACCTGAAGTTCAAGAATAGGATGTTCACTGACCTCAACGATATCCTTAAAACAATGATGTTATTCTACCAAAACAAAACATGAAGTTCAAGAATAGGATGTTCACTGACCTCAACGATATCCTTAAAACAATGATGTTATTCTACCAAAACAAAACATGAAGTTCAAGAATAGGATGTTCACTGACCTCAACGATATCCTTAAAACAATGATGTTATTCTACCAAAACAAAACATGGAGTTCAAGAATAGGATGTTCACTGACCTCAACGATATCCTTAAAACAATGATGTTATTCTACCAAAACAAAACATGAAGTTCAAGAATAGGATGTTCACTGACCTCAACGATATCCTTAAAACAATGATGTTATTCTACCAAAACAAAAACATGGAGTTCAAGAATAGGATGTTCACTGACCTCAACGATATCCTTAAAACAATGATGTTATTCTACCAAAACAAAACATGGAGTTCAAGAATAGGATGTTCACTGACCTCAACGATATCCTTAAAACAATGATGTTATTCTACCAAAACAAAACATGAAGTTCAAGAATAGGATGTTCACTGACCTCAACGATATCCTTAAAACAATGATGTTATTCTACCAAAACAAAAACATGGAGTTCAAGAATAGGATGTTCACTGACCTCAACGATATCCTTAAAACAATGATGTTATTCTACCAAAACAAAACATGAAGTTCAAGAATAGGATGTTCACTGACCTCAACGATATCCTTAAAACAATGATGTTATTCTACCAAAACAAAACATGAAGTTCAAGAATAGGATGTTCACTGACCTCAACGATATCCTTAAAACAATGATGTTATTCTACCAAAACAAAACATGGAGTTCAAGAATAGGATGTTCACTGACCTCAACGATATCCTTAAAACAATGATGTTATTCTACCAAAACAAAACATGGAGTTCAAGAATAGGATGTTCACTGACCTCAACGATATCCTTAAAACAATGATGTTATTCTACCAAAACAAAACATGGAGTTCAAGAATAGGATGTTCACTGACCTCAACGATATCCTTAAAACAATGATGTTATTCTACCAAAACAAAACATGAAGAACAAGAACAGGATTTTCAGTGGCCTCACTCATATCCGCAATACCTCGGCAATATTCTCCCAAAACAAAGCATATATGTGTATGATTGATGTATATGAACAATCCTCAGATTGTATCGGTGTAGATTAATGGCCTGAAAGAGATATTTCTACATGCACACATGCATTGCTGTCACCATAATGAGGACACCAGGTGTTTAAGCCGTAGAGAACATTATCACGACGAAAGGGATTGATGTGGTGTCGTGGAACATTAAGTCTTTACACAAAATACACGCATTGCTCTTTTTCGCCCTTTCTCTTGGCTGTATTTTTATTCATTGGGTTTAAATCATGATTACATAACGTTCATTTGACATTTGAAATATCGATTTTTAGTGTTTTGCCCGATCTTCTAGCACATCAGCCGACGAATAAACAAGCTTCTCGGGTCTTGGAGCTCACTTCGCATTTTTTAGCTGACATTTGACAGAATGTGGCGTTTGCTGTCATTGTGAGTTGATAAGTGCATGTATTGTAGACTATTACTAGTACATTTGTCTTGCAATGGTGTTTATGTCTGATAATTTGCGATGAAACTGGTATTGTCTTTATGTAGCAGGATGTTTATACCGCCGTCTGTATTGATCGTCACCGCGGATTTATGAACAATTAATGCTGCCCGTTCCGGTATTTGTGCTGATGACTGTTCCTGTGAATGGAAATAGGGCTCTGTCTATAGGAACAACAGCGGAGAGTCCAGGGACGATTCCGTCCGCAGCACCCGGTGCATGGGAGAAGATTCCGTCTACAGCACCCGGTGCATGGGAGAAGATTCCGTCCACAGTACCCGGTGCATGGGAGAAGATTCCGTCCACAGCACCCGGTGCATGGGAGAAGATTCCGTCCACAGCACCCGGTGCATGGGAGAAGATTCCGTCCACAGCACCCGGTGCATGGGAGAACATTCCTTCCACAGTACCCGATGCATGGGAGAACATTCCGTCCACAGTACCCGGTGCATGGGAGAAGATTCCGTCCAAAGCACCCGGTACATGGGAGAAGATTCAATCCACAGTACCCTGTGCATGGGAGAAGATTCCTTCCACAGTACCCGGTGCATGGGAGAAGATTCCACTCGCAGTACTCTATGCATAAGGGAAGATTCCGTTCGCAGTACCCGGTGCATGGGGGGAAGATTCCGCCCGTTATACTCGATGCATAAGGGAAGATTCCGTCCACACCACCTGATGCATGGGAGAAGAGAAGATTCCGTCCGCAGCACCCGGTGCATGGGAGAAGATTCCGTCCACAGTACCCGGTGCATGGGAGAAGATTCCGTCCACAGCACCCGGTGCATTGGAGAAGATTCCACTCGCAGTACTCTATGCATAAGGGAAGATTCCGTCCGCAGTACCCGGTGCATGGGTGAAGATTCCACTCGCAGTACTCTATGCATAAGGGAAGATTCCGTCCACACCACCTGATGCATGGGAGAAGATTCCGTCCGCAGCAGCCGATGCATGGGGGAAGATTCCTTCCACAGCACCAGGCACATGGGGGGAAGATTCCGTCCGCAGCACTCGATGCATGGGGGAAGATTCCGTCCACAGCACCAGGCACATGGGGGGGAAGATTCCGTCCGCAGCACTCGATGCATGGGGGAAGATTCCGTCCACAGCACCAGGCACATGGGGGGAAGATTCCGTCCGCAGCACTCGATGCATGGGGGAAGATTCCGTCCACAGCACCCGATGCAGGGGGAAGATTCCGCCCGCAGCAACCGATGCATGGGGGGAGGATTCGGCCCACAGCACCTGGTGCATCAGGGAAGATTCCGTCCACAGCACCCGATGCATGGGGGAAGATTCCGTCCAGAGCAACAGATGCATGGGGAAGATTCCGTCCGCAGCACACGATGCATGGCTGAGCACCATGAAACGAAGACTGGTTGGTCACAATGTGGTTGATACTCTTTGGTTAAGGGCGTATTCTGTTTGGGGTTCACCTGACCCCGGGATAAATTATTTAAATATTATTGGTTGCGGGGTTAAATAGCACACACTGGCTGAACAACTGGGTCTGTCCAAAGTGGTGTTTTATCCAAATTATTCACTCATTCCAAACCTAGGACTGTTTAAGTGACGTGGTAAATCAAACTCACTCACGCAATCATAACACCCAACCATTCAACGTACTCACTCATTCAAAACCAAGGACTGTTAAAATCTTTAACCAAAATCTTTCACTCGAATGTTACTGTTCAGTTTTGATTGCATCATTACTGTTCCCATGTGTCCAAACACCATTACTTCACTGTATTATTTCTCTTGTGGATGCAGGGGATGTTCCGCCTTGGTTGTGCAAAGGGCGAACCATATTTCTCCCAAAGAAAGGTGTTCTGACTTACCCTAAAAACTTCCGCCCAATTACTTGTTTGAACACTCAGTACAAAATATTTACAGATCTCGTGTCATTGTACTGCGCTTCGAATGACATTATCTACACGGAGCAGAAGGAGCCAGAAAGGGATGTTTGGGTTGTAAGGATCAATTGCTGGTTCAGAAAGAGAGGCTAAAACTTACCATGTGTTGGATAGACTACAGACTATGATTCTGTACCTCACGAATGGAATTTAAAGTCACTGGAATGTATTGACCTCCCCGAGCGACTACTTGTTTTCCTCAAGTCTTTAATGAATTGTTGGTCAACTCAACTTGAGACGTATTCGCAGGGGAAGGTGGTGACTTCGGAACTCATTTCTATTAGAATCAGGACGATTCTTTCAGTCCTTTGCTTTTCTGTTTGTCACTAAATCCTTTAAGCTTTTTGCTCAGCAAAGAGGAAGGTTATCATCCTGAAGCTCCTCAGCACCGATCCCCAACCTCCTTACTCACCTCATTTACATTGATGACCTTGAACTTATTGCTAATGGAGGATCCACACTAAAACAACAGAGTCTTTTTCTAATGATATCGGCATATCCTTTGGACTCGACACATGCAACATTCAGAAAACCCTCTGTTTTACTTTTCAGGCCAGCCGATCTCATCCAAGCGAAGGACGCTGTAGGTGCTGACCACTTCAACACACTGCACATAAACACGATGCAGTGGTCGCTCAGATAGCCTCTCCTTAAAACATTGTGTCTGGGCCGATTTGATATGGCACTTCGTTTGTTTGACACTAATTTCTGTACCGTCCAGCAGTACAGAACCATCAACAATATCAACACCGACATTGAGATTATGTCCCACATCCTTGGCTCGCTTAAGAAAACTGTGGAATGCCTTGTTTTCGTCATGAGTCTTGGCATGCTTCACAAGAGGATCATCAGACAAATAAATGTGTGCAAAAGTGCACAAAACAATTCTATCATGAACCCGGGTACTCTCCAAATGTCAGTCAACAGATTGGGGGGTTCCAAACCTAAGGAACCGAGAACAATGGGGAGTCGGACAACTTGGTACTTGGGATGTAAGCGTGACATTTCGAAAGCGAGGTCTGCATATTTGCCACGTTTTTCCTGAATGTTGTCAATCACATTACTGTCAAAAGTGACAGAAAAAATATATAAATGATTTCATTGGATTTATCAAAAAGGACAAGATCAGGTTTGTCGGCATGGATACATCTGAGGCTGAATACGGGCCTATTCCAAAGAATTTTGTATTTATCATTTTCCATGATGCCTTCTACATATTCTTGGTCGTACCATGGATGAACCTCTGTGTCAAAACCACAAGCATGGCGAAGACGGTAATAAAATGATCGAGCTACACCATCATGTCGCTTAAGATACTGTGTTTGTGCCAAAGCTGGACATCCACTGACAATGTGTTGGACAGTCTCATTAAATTCATTGCATAATCTACATTTCATATTTACATTTTGTTTTGTTTTCATCATTAGTCTTGACATGCTTCACAAGAGGATCATCAGATAAATAAATGTGTGCAAAAGTGCACAAAACAATTCTATCATGAAGAGCCTCCACATTAATCAATCCACGCCCACCAATCATAATTGGTAAATATAAGCGATTGAGGGAAGAGCGAGGGTGGTGGGATCCATTGTCTGACATGATTCTTCGTATGAGGGTGTCAATACCCTGAATTTCTTGTTTCGTCCAATCAACAACACCAAAGGAATAAGAAAGGACGGACACAGCATAAGTATTTGTGGCTTTGACATTGTTGCAAGGTTTCAACTCTGAACTCCAGAAGTCTACATTTGTAATCTGACCGAAGTTTATCCTTGATATGGGAATTCGTGAGTTTATCCGTAACCTGCGTCTCTAAGTACGTATGGGCCTGACCTTCCACGAGATTGTCAATAATCCCCCCCCCCCCCCCCCCCCCCAGGTAACCTGACTGATCCTCCTTCTTCTGCCTTGCCATGTTTCAGATGTTGCATTTGTCGAGCCTATAGGACATGCGAGTATCATAAGAGAAGGAGAATCTGTTGTTGTTGTTATTATGATTATGATTATGATGATGATGATTATTATTATTATTATGATGATGATGATGATCATCATCATCATCAACATTATTATTATGCATTCAGGTAAAAATATAGGTATAAATATATACACATATACATGCACTCAGTGACACGTCCACGTCTAAATCGAGTTGTTACATATAAAGATGTTTATTACAGTCGCGATGCCCCTGGGCGTATGCCATACGTGCATGTAATGTCTGCAATCATTAGCCACAAAAATTGACACTGTATGCAAACATACAGACAACCCCCAAAGGAATAAATGCATTTAAACCGATATTGGCAAGAGAAACATACAATATTACAATTCAAAACATGCCGTGTTTATTGTCTCCCTTGCCAACAGCTCCGTTGTTTGTTCGCTGAGAGAGTTACAATGTAGATGCTGTATGTGTTGGATTTTAAATACAATACAGATGGTTTATATAGACTACATGCCAAAGGACTAGTATGGTAGTTTCTGACAATATGCAGTCTTCTTGGTCAATAGGAGATTTGAGATACACACGTATTTGATATTCACACGACGCAAAGCCACATACCTTGCGCAGCCAAAATATTTTCAGTTGTCGGAGCATTAAACTTTTATATCCATCCTCTTGTGTTTCTATAGACACAAGACAACTTTAAAACGGTTAAGCAAAGACTAAATGATACGGCTCACGCATCTCAATTCGGGATGTCAACAATTGTTATAGTTTCTGTTGTGACACTGGGGAAACTGATAAAGTGGTGAAATGGTCCAGCGAAACACCTTCTACGGTTACACACCATAAAATATTAGCTTTAGAAAGGCGTCGACTTGTAAAATCCAATTTAACTTAGCTGGCCGTTCTATACGAATGCAATGACGTCATTTCATTGACGTCAATTGCCTTTGTTTGCACTTTGAGTTATATATAGGATAGATATGACACTCTTGCTTGAAATACAGTAAACTACGAACACATTTATAACAAACTGACGGATATAACGAACTTGCTTATTGATCCCGGCCATTTGCTGTGTATATGCTGTACATATGCTTATAACGAACTGCCGTTATAACGAACTAAAATTAGCAGTTCGTAATAACCGCAGTGTACTGTATTCGCGGAAACATTGTTTGTAACGTGTAAACAATTTGTTCGTGTGCCAATATCGAGTTGAACCGATTTGCAAGCTGAACATTCGTGTACTCTCTTCAGCCTTCGTCCATTCAGACAATAATATCCCGCACACGTCACTACGTGACACTTGCAAAACAGTACACAGTTTGCGAGATACGAGAGTGTTTATAATAATGCATTAAACTTTGTAAAATATATTTACTCGTCCAAGCTATTTACTGACATGTAGAAATATATATCCACATTGACGAATGTAGCCAACCCGTCGGAGTGTCACTGAAAGTCTCGGAGACATAAGGACCAAGTTCTAGGAAGCGTAGCAATTCGTTGTTCAGAGTTGCTTCCCTTTACCGTGCCGGGAACTGCTAATTGGAAGTTCCCATCCCAAACGCGCCCCGATGATACTCCATTAGCACCATAGCTATGGTAATCACAGTGAACCTACCCGTTAAAATCCGGCTACAACCCATGCTTGTCTTTGGAGGGGCACGCTCGCTGACTTAGTTGACGCATATCCTTGTATCCCAGTTGCGTAAATCG